TAGGCACCACCAGCTTTCACCTGGTTTACAGCAGGAGCTTCTTCTTTTTCTCCCTCCCTTAATACCCTTCACTCTATGCTCAATATAGCAGCCAGAATGATCCTATCCCAATCTAGTTCAGATATTATAACACCATTGTCCCAAACTCTGCATCATCTTCTCATCTCAGTCCTCAAGTCCTCCTCGGGGTCTATGAGACCCCTCAATGTCCAGAACATGGTAACGTCTCTGAGCTCATCCTCAACTCTGCCCTCATCCAGTGCACACTGCTAGGGCCACACTGGCTTCCTTGCTGTCCAGATGCACCAGGACTGCTGCCTCCCTGGAACTAGCTGTGCCTTCGGCCCAAACACTCAACTCTCTGGTTTCTATACTGCACATCAGAATCATTCAATAAATATTTCTTAAAAGAATGGGGAATAATTTGAAAATATTTCTTAATAAATAAAATTATTATGCTTTAGATCCACTTTCAAATTGTACTATTTTCCTGCTACCATTTGATCTTAGAAGTTCCTTATGTGTACATAACACCAGGCTTTTTTTCTGTTTTCAAAGCAGTGCTTTGCATATAAAAGTCATTCTTCAAATTTTTAGTGATTTGTGAAATCACGTATGAACAAAAGACGAAATGAGTCTAATTCGCATCAACTTGTACTTCTAGACTAGTAGAACTGGTGATTAATGGTGATGACTAGTGTTTACTAGCAATTACTGGTCAATCTAGACTAGTTTCTCCTTATACAGCCATGTGCTCTAATTTAGCAATTCAGAGTGAAGAAGCTTTGTGCTGTGATGATATTGATACTTCGATAATGGTTTGGGTCTTTATGATTCCCATTGTCTGTATCATTTCTTTATGTTTTGGTTAAGAATATAAGACCCGTAGCCTCAAATAAAAATAACCCAAATACACACCATATTTTTTCCATTGATTTTTAGAGGGAGAGAAAGTATTGAGGGATGTGGGAGAGAGAGTGGGGGGTGAGAGAGAGAGAGAGAGAGAGAGAGAGAGAGAGAGAGATGTATTTGTTGCCTCCCCTACCCGCCCCTGACTGAGGCCTGGAATTGAACCTGTAACCCAGGAACCTGCCCTTGACCTGGCATTGTACAGGAGACACTTCAGTGCATGGGCCTTTACTCTAATTACTGGGAAACATCAGCCAGGGATCTCTGAAACATTTTGGGATTAATTTGGCACAAAATTCTATCTAATAAACAGTTATATTTGCACACACTGATTATCAGCTGTACTATCTGAATAGTTAAGGAAGCTCTATAAAGAAACAGATCAATTTTTCTCAGTGACCACACTTCCGAAAATCCTCATATACTTGGAATTAACTTAGAACTTTTATCATGAAATATGTTTTGACAGAAATTGTACATAGCATATGAATTCCAAGATTTTCCTTAGTTAAAGACAAACTTATAGATTCACAAATATTATCTGTAATGTGAGCATAATGGTTATATATTAGAATAAAATAAATTACAACATGCACAACAGCATTTTATTTGGCTTTATTTTTTTTGAAGATGTTTTCTTGAATTGCTTGCATAGAAATCAAACTACAATTACTTCATCTAATCATTTTTCTTCTATAATTCTGAAAAAGAAAGAATTGGTATATAAGCATATGAATACTTTCATTGACAGCATGTTAATTTCATTCCTTTATCCACTCAATTGATAAACATCCACTAGTATTTGTCCTAGTACCTTGTCCACAGCCTGTGACAGGAGAGCATGTGGTGGGATGTCAGGAGCGCATCTTCCAAAGGACTGATGGGCAGAAAGGCCCTGGGATGGGAAGGGGCCCTCTGACCAGTCAATAGTTACCCATTTGCAATTTTCACAAATGGCTGACCCACAAGATTTCTTGTGAAAAAGAGTTTGTCCCAAACTACATATTAAACCAAAAGTATGGAAGATGTAATCTCATAACTAATCTTACAATTTACAAAAGACACAGCGATTAGAACTCTTCTGTTTTAGTGTCTGCTGTGCTGTATAATGTAATTGAGAGGCCTTCTTCTTATAAACAGTTTTACGAAAAGCTACACGGTATTATTTTTTTTTTAAACAAAGAGACACATTGCTCTAAACTACCCACTTATGACCATGAATGGGCATGTGCCACACCCCTGACCATGCATGTCCCTTAGAAGTGAAGGGTAATCAGTGGACACAAGTCACCAATTGTTCAGGTGTCTTCACAGACGCCGTGCCCACTACTGAGGACTCTCATGAAAACAAGGACTGAAGTTAAACAATGAATTATACTCATTATGAGGTTGGGTCTTCTTTAATCTCCTTGACCGCTTCAGGGTTGTAGTCTATTCTAACTTAATGTCCTATAAATAAAGTTTTATTGTAGCACAGATACTCCCATTCCTTTTATTTTTGGCTGCTTTCATATTACAATAGCATATTTGAGTATTTCTAGCAGAAACCATATAGACCAAAAACCCAAAAATATTTCCCTTGGTGCCATTTGAGACAAATTTGATAATCTCTGATACAGTGATAACATAAAATTTTACTAAGCCAAGTATCACAAACAGATTTTATGAATTATGTAACATTGATGTACTCAGAAAAGAAATATGATGTGTATATATTAAAGCAATTGTGATAATAAGTTTATCACTAAACAAAGAGAAAAAAATTATTTGTGTTTTCTCTATTCAAAAAATCTTTTACAGTGACTACTATTGCAATCATAATACCTTCACACTTTATAGGTAAAAGAAGCTGAACTTCATTTTTGCTTTCTGAAGTTGCTATGTTTCAAGGAAGATAATTCAACGCAGAGTGCCTATTTTCACAATAAAAAGCCTTGCTATAAATTGGTGCCATTTCCCTGTACTTATCTAAAATAATAAAAGCATACTATGCTAATTAGACTGGACAGCTAAACGACCTTCCAGACGTCCTTCCGATCAACCCTCAGAATGAAGCCAGGCCTGCCAGGGTCGGGGCATGTTGACACAGCTGCGAGGGGCAAGGAAAGTTGCTGAGGCAAGCCACCACGGTTGCCAGGGCTGAGCCCCTTGCACGAATTCTGTGCATCGAGCCTCTAGTACTAAATAAGATGCTAGCAGTTGATCATCAGATGAATTCTTAAAGCAATATGAGCAGCCTGGCTTGACCTCCATACTAAAGCCAGTTCTCATTACGTGGTGTGGATCACTCTCCTCCATTTTATGACAGGATAGAGGGCAGGGTAGGTATATGTCTGAGTGAACTAGAAGATAAAAAACTGTTTAGTCATGTGGTTTTCCTCCTGTCTGTAATCAGCACCCAGCAAGAATCATTTGAAGCCATTTACTGGTCCACAGTTCACTACATGTCAGAGTGTCATTCTTACCTGAGGTCTCACTGTGAACAGATCTAAGATATTTCTTACCAAGCGACTCTTAACTACTGAAATAGCTGGATGATGGCTGGATGACTATAATAAGAATGCACAGATATACTCACCACTAAAAACTTATCATCGGCTTTGTTCCAAAGTTTCTTTGAATCATTCAGGTTTTTCCCCAGCTCTGCAGATCAAGAAGAGAAAATTTTGCTTGTGAAGGGTCATAGATGAGAAAACATCTAAAGAAATGATGATGTGTAACCTATGCTATTATCTGTGCTCTGTGAAGTTCTCTAGGCCCAATAATTATCTATGATGTTAGTTATTAACTATGATATTTTCTAACTTTAAAGGAGCTTAACTTATCCTTATAGAATTATAATCTAGTGGACAAAGACAGTCATTTTGTCTGTTCTCACCCAAGCAGAAATGTTCTAACACTCACCATCTACACTATAATAATCAGAATAAAAAGAGAGAGCGATACAATTCCTATATATTGTACTACAATGTCTACACACCTCACACAGACTTGAGCTTTACTGAGTCTCAGAAGACAAAATAACTCAGGGCTAATTGGTAATATAAGGGAGTTAAAATGCTCATACAGGGAGTTCCATGTGATACCAAATTGCTAGTTGACTGGGCTTTCCATGGTTAAAAACCAGTTTTTTTGATAAAACTTGCTTCCAGATTCAGAGTAGATGCCTGTATTGTTATTTTGTTTTACCCCTGGAGACACAATAGAGCCAAGTGGGAAGGCTTACGAAATATCCTGGTTTAGAACAAATATCTATAGAGGCCCTAATTTCCTGCTGGTGGGCTTTGGGTAGGGCCCAAATACTATATTTTTTAAATTCTTCAGGGTTGTCTAGTGGCAACTAAGGTTGAGAATTACTGTTTCACAGTATAGATAGTGAGATAAGTAAGGCTCCATATGTAGTTTGTATTTTGAAAGTCATTTACAATTTCTGAATATAGCAAGGTTTCTGTTTCTTTACCTGGGGTTCCCAAGAAGATTATTCAAGTGCTTTTTCACAGCAATCACTTTTCGAAGTCTTGTATAATTATCAGTGAATACTGCATCTGAGTGGCGTCTTATTGGTCCCTGGTCTTCTGAGATGTCAGTGCTAAGAAAATTGAGGGAAAGCAAACAAAGGGTTTCATTAAAAAATAATATCTATGCCAATATTCCTAGGTTTCTTGGTGTCAGCTAAAAAGAAATTCCAAAACCCCACTCATTTTCTGTCACAATTATACTAAATCAAATATACCCCTAAACCTAAAATTGGTAAAAGAGGAATAATCCAACCCATTAGACATTTTCTGTGATATTGAAGGCACAATCTGGATTAATTGAGCAAATGCTTTGTAATATGTATATATGGAATTATTTGCAGTTGTGTTCTGCCACTGGGAGAAAATATTCTTTAAAAATAAATTCTTCTTTAGAAGCTTTGCCACATGAATGGTGCCACCTCTATACTCAGCTACTGGCTGTTTAAATAAAAAATCTTTCAATGCTTGGTTTGAGCAGGAAAGTTAAAAACAAGTACCATGGTTTAAGTTAAAATATGCTTTACTTTATACTCTGCCTCATTTAGTTTTTATTTTGTCGACTTCAATTTGATTGTAGATTTACAAATATTTGCTACCAAGGTAATATAAGTGTGTGAGAAGCCTGTGAGCATTTCATGACTCCACAGTCTTATTTCCTTATGCATAGGCCGGGTGTATGCAAGCAAATTAAAGATGACCAAGAGTTATCAAATTGCAAAAAAGTAAATGAATCATTTACAAAAAAGAAACTATCTTGATTTTCCAAAACCTTTATTACACCTTTTGCTATTTCTTCTCCAAACTATTTTGCATTCAAAATCTCTTAGCATAGAAAAGACCTTAGTGTGTAACAACCAAGTTTTCTGTCCTTATGAGGAAGCTTCTATTCTTTGCCTTCAGTAGAGAGCTACTGCATCTGTACTTAAAAGCTGTTCTTGACCCATTTTCTGTGAATGAACAGCATTTCTCATTAAACATCTTTTCTGGCCACGGAGCTGGAGCGAACAGGAGGCATGGGTTGCCCCTGGCAATGGAGGAAGCCAAACTTCCCTCCTGCTGGCCCTGGCCGGCTCTGAGCTCCTCTCAAGGCTACAAAGTTTCAATTATAGAAGGTAAATAAATCCCAGAATTAAAAAAAAAAAAGAAAAAAAGAAGAGGCTGGGAGCTTCTGTTTACAGGGGAGGTTTGGCCAGCCTGAATACGGCCCTCAGCCCCTCACCCAGACTGGCCAGGCACCTCAGTGGGAACCCCCCACAAAAAACGGGGTGTGGACAGCCTGCAAACAGCCATCAGCCCCTCACCCAGG